AGTTCTTGTCTGAATTATAACATCACAGGTTTGACATCTCTCAATTGTCTTTTCCCTTGAGAAGAGGTCACATTTTCTGTTTCCTTCGGTGTCATGTGATTTTGATTTCTTTCTAGACATTATGAATACTATGTTGTAGAGATTTAGGATTCTGTTATATTGCTCTGAAATGTGGATGGTTTTTATTTGGAGGCTGTTAACTAGGTTAGACTCAAAGTGCAAACTCTGTCAACTCTCTAGAAGGTAGCAGCTTTTATCTCAGTTCAGACAACTTTAGTCTACTCCAAGCAAGTGAAAGGCACAGGTCAGCTGGAGACTTAGGTAGAATTTATACCAAGAGTTTGGGGTTCCCCATCTTTCTAGTTCCCGGGGAACAGAGTTGCCCCACGTCCTTCCCTTAATGCCTGTCAGAAAGATAGCAGCTTTTTATCAGAGCTATAGCTGACCTACACCCCTGACTCCATAACTGGCCTCCCCTCTGGCCAAAACCACATGTTTCTCTTCCCCCACAACATCTGCCTGCTTTTGTTAACTCTCCAGTGCCTTCAGGTAGGTTTTGCTGCCCATGTGTTCTGTTTTTATATTTTGTTCAGATCCTGTGATTGTCACTTGCTGGCACATTTGTGTGTTAGGACTGTGTCCCGCTATTCCAGATGCAGAGGCTCTGTGTTTCAGACCAGGCAGAGGCTTTCTTCCAGGTCTGTTGTCTAAGTGATCAAATGGGTGGGCAGCACTATGTTGCTTACTAGATACTCTGGATTTTTGTACGTGAGGCTTGTTGACTGTCGCTTTCACCCTCCATGTGTCAGTACTTTTCATCTGGCTGTACCATTTCACTGGGGACCCTCCAATGTCAGTATTTTGGCATCTTGTTTCTCCTCCTTTCTCCTGCCTAGAGGGTGGAAACTTAATTATATTCAGAGTTTATGGGGGTGGATAAGAAAGAGTGAGAGGTCTCAATATCTCTGTTTCTCTTCCTCTTTTTCATTAAGGTCTCTGTATACTTGTAACTGTGGTTAATATTTCCCTGAGTAGAAAGGATCAAGATCCTTTATTTTACCCTCTTCAAGGCCAGGGTGGGTGATCTAAATGCTAACTGACACTTCAACAAATATTCCAGCAGTTCCCCTGTTTTTAGATCCTCACCCCCACTTTCAGGGATGCCTAAGTGTCATCAATGTCTCATCCCTTCGGGTAGTGTCCAGTATTAAGTTAGGTTGTGTCTTGCCTGGGATTCTGCTTTCTTCAGATCAAATACCACTTGGCCTGCTTTCCAGCTTTACTGATTTGGGGAGAGGATTATGTTGTTTTTTTTTTTAAAGTCCTTTTACTGTCCCTTTAGTAAGGGTTTGGGAAGAATAAAGAATTAAATGTGCATGTTAATTAATAATCTTTGGCTGAATTTCTTTGATTTTCTTTTTTCATTTCAGTCTTCAGTCCTTCTGTAATTTTGGTAAATAGCATGTAATGGAAGTCTGATTTTCTTTTCTTTACAAATGTGTCTAATTTCCTAATTTTGTGTTTACCAAAATAGTCCATCTTTTTCTCCATTCATATAAAATACTGTTGATGAAATATACTGATATTATACATGCTGGGTATGTGTTCTTTTGATCGGTGCTTTCCTTCTTTTGCTCATATATTATTCCAGATGAACTTCAGAATTATTCTTTAAACCTATCTCTGAGTACTACAGCCCCTAACTCCAGGAAAATGTATGTATATATACATATACATTTATATATCTATATATACATATATCCATGTGTTGAGATTGTTATTAGCCTTTACATCTTAAGTAGGGTAGGACTGACATCTTTAAAAAATTAAGGAATGTGCTATTCACTACACTTACTCAGGTCTTTTATGTACACCATTGACTCATTAAATCTATACAGTGTCTACTTTGTGCTAGAACCTCCTAAAGTGTTACAAATATAGTGGTGAACAAAGCATGGCCTCTTCATGTTACTACCAATCCTGCATATTTATTATTGAATTTAATTCTAAGTATTTCATGTGTTTGTGGCTGTTGTGAATGGGATTTTTTTTAAACTCTTTATGTGTTCCAGCTGATTATTGCTGGAAGACGAGGCAGTTGTTCATTTCCCTTCAGGCCTTCTAAGGTCAACATTTCTTGTGCCAAAAACGTGTCACTGCTCTTCCCTCTAGGCCAGTCTCAGAGGCTTTTCCAAAGTGCCACCTGCTTCTTGTTGATACTTGACAGTGACTCAGATTCATAGTTCAATGAGCCACATCAGCTCCTAGGGATCTCGTTCAAAATACAGTTGTCGTAGAGGGTTAATTGCTGTGCTTAAGTTCACTGTGGAAAATTTTATAATGTCTGATTTCTTCATTCAGACTTACTAGCCCTCAAGGTTTTCTTTGTTTGTTCTTGAGCCTGTTTGCCTCTCCAGCTGTCCATCTGGTTTTGTTCCCGTTTAATTTTATGCCAGACTCTCATCCAGGAATTAGGGCATAGCCAGGGATCTGGTTCAGAAGTAAGGGGGGTGAGGGAATGATTTAAAAGAGCTCAAAGAATTTGATTTTATTTTAGTTTTTCATTCTTTGAGAGCACTCCCTCAAAACTGAACAAATGATAGAAATGAGAAAAATTGTTCCAACTATACTGTATAAGTTCTAAAAGTTATTAAATCATAGTGGGCAAAATACTGTTTCCTAATTTTGTGGAAATTTTTTTTCCCCTAAGGTGATGGCCAAGCTATATTATCACTTTTTATTGATTTCTCCTCCCCCTTAAGGCTATGCTAATTCCCATCTTCACTCTGATGCGTGGGTATCTAGCTCCCTTGTGGTGACTAGGGGTGTCCTGCTGAAGAGCATCGAGTTCTCTGTTCCCACAGCATTCATGTGTGTGGTGGTTGGGTTGGGGTGGCAGCGGCTGTTCTTTAATTGAATCTCAACCCTGTCTCTGACATCACATAGGTTGTTAACCTGTGAGTAGCCTGCTTCAGATCCTCCTCGGAGCATTGGTTTATCAAAACCATTTTGATACCCACGTACAGTTTCTGTTTCCACCTTCTGTTGGAGTAAGGAGTTTCCAAAGTTAACAAGTATTGCATTTGTATCTTTAATATCTCTAAGTTTTTAGAGACTTGCCTTGTGGCATTGAAATGTAGGGTATAGGGTGAAAGCTGTAAATCAAATGGATGTAGGTTCAACTCACCAGTTTGGCGACTGAGCAAGATATTTTGCTTGTATCAGGTTCTATGTTTTGTCTTGTTTTGAAGTTTCTTCAAGTGTAAAACGGGAATAATAGTAGAAACTACCTCACAGGATTATTGTGTGAATTAAATGTGATGATGCATATCATCACATTTAATTCACACAATGATGCGTATACAGTATCCGGCACAGAACTGACACTTAGGAACTTGCTACTAATATTATGGTTATTACAAATAGTGATATCTATAGAATTTCAGACATTAACCTTTAGTCTTTATGTTATGACACAAAATCTTTTTGGTTTGTCTTCATGACAGTCTTATCACCACCACCCATTGCATTTGCTACTACAGTTTGCATATATTATTCTTGGGTGTATTATAATAAAAAGAAGAACAAACAAAAAAACTGCACCCTTAATTCCAGGTATGGTGGCATTGTGGTTTTGTAAAAGGAAGACAGCATTTTCAGATTTGTTTTTTTTGCTGTGTACATGTCGTTTATAAGTCTGAGTTGGTCAAGTTTCTTCATGTGTATTTGGGTGGTTTCTATACTTGACTTTTCTTCAAGGAAGTCAGGATTATATTGCCAAATGTAGTTTTCTAAAGCCATCCCCACAGAGTCATCTACCCCTGGAGTGTCTATACTTATTCTTTTGTCAGTTATTTATAGTTAGTTTTAGAGATCTGATTTCCCAAATCTCGGGCTACTGATAAAATTTTTGCCAGGATCCACAGTCTTGGCCATTTGTTGGGTTTAGGATGACTTTGCCCTTTTCTCACAAAGTTCCTATTACTTTTACTTCACCAACCAGTTCTTGCTTGTTGGTTAAAATTGGGCCTAGAGTAACATCCGCTTGTTAATTCATTTGTTGTCAAGGGATGAATAAGAAAAGAGTAAGACTCCAGCAGCTGTCCAGATTGCTGCGCTATCTTACTTCTGTGTTAATTGCATAATCTCCATCATAAAGGCCCCTTCTGTGCTTTCTCTCTGGGTGGACTGTGTTCCCATAACATTTTCATTTCTTACTCTCTTTCCTTTTACCCTTACCTACACCATGCATTCCACTCCTGGTCTTAACTTTCTACACAAGTGTATGCCTTCTTAATGATTTTCAGCTTTACCTCCTTAACTTTATTTTCCTCTAAATATTCCTCAGGTACTACTCCCACCTACCTCAAAAACCTTAACTGTGGTTTATCCCTACTTGCTTGGCTGTATACTGCCCAGGAGACCTTGGTTTCAGCTATAAACTTGGAGGTTTTGCTGTGTACCTCTAAAACTTTGAGGAGCTTGTTAGGCTAGAAATGACCTGCCTAGGCATAAAAAGATGGGCTTACAATATAGTCTTCTACCATTTCCAGTTTACCCCAAAGCTGCTGGAGACAGGTGTTAACTGTGAGTTCTTGTTATGAGCACTACTCAAAGTAGATATTTATGGCTTTTATTTGTTTTTCCTGGTCTTACAATTAGATTGAGTGCAAGTATAAACTGGGAAGTACTTGAGAATAAGTTGCTTTTGCAGTGGGGATCAATATTTTCTGTTTGTAATTCTTCTAGTCCTTCTTAGTTTGCAGCTGGTTTTTTGTTTTGTTTTTTGTTTTGAGATGGGAGACATGTTGCAGTGCAGTTTTAAGTGTCTACCCTGCTACATGTGTAGGGGGCGGGATTCCTTCTAGACTGCTGTCATTTGTTCCAAATTTAGAAGTGAGGGGTGTAAGGCTGTTGGTCAACAGCTTCCTGCATTGTTTGCTGTTCTCCATTGAAGTCATGATTAACGCCTGGGCTTTCGTTCATTTGGGTCCCCTCAGATACACCTATGAGCGAATTGATGGGCGAGTACGGGGAAACCTGCGCCAGGCAGCCATCGACCGGTTCTGTAAGCCAGACTCAGACCGCTTTGTCTTTCTTCTGTGCACCAGAGCGGGAGGCCTGGGGATCAATCTCACAGCTGCTGATACCTGCATCATATTTGATTCTGACTGGAACCCACAAAATGACTTGCAGGTAACCATTAGGATGATTGCTCTTTACCTTAGCTGCCCCTGCATCCCGGAACATCACGACAGGGCCTGGCATGGCTGTAGAATGTCTGCCATGCTCCATACAATGCTGTCAGCTAGATGACAGACTTAGGGCTTTGGTCAGGGGAGTGAAACCAAATGAAAAGTAAATGTCGACCCTTCCTACCAATCAGAAAGTGGTTCTTTCCTTTTGCTTTAAATAAAATGATGTTTCACAGTGGTAGCCTCCAAGTATAGAATAGAACTACTGTTTATTATCAGATATAAAGAAAGATACTAAGCTTGACTAATTCTCTAATTCTTGATACATAGATTGATTCTGGCATTTTCACTCAGTTTGTTTGTTAGATGGTCGTATGTCATATATGTCATATGTACAGTAAATGAGTTAACCCAAAGGAGTGGGAAAGTTCCATGGTATGGGAGGGGTAATGGGCACCCTCAGTAGTTCATATGCTTGCCATATAATGCAGAATGTTAGAGTTTAATATGTGTCCAGTTAAATGGCTTTGTGGATTCTGTTTTCTAGTTTTAACCAAACAAAATAACCGGTGGCTTTAAAAGATTACTGCTAAGACTAGAGTTAATACATTTTTAAAAACAAGCATAAACAAACAATAAGAAAATGGCAGAGTCTGGTTTAGAGTTCTTTTTTTTTTTTTAATTTTTTTTTTTTTTTTTTTTTGAGACAGCGTCTCACTTTGTTGCTCAGGCTAGAGTGAGTACCGTGGCGTCAGCCTAGCTCACAGCAACCTCACACTCCTGGGCTCAAGCAATCCTGCTGCCTCAGTCTCCCTAGTAACTGGGACTACAGGGACTACAGGCATGCGCCACCATGCTCGGCTCATTTTTTCTATATATATTAGTTGGCCAATTAATTTCTTTATAGTAGAGACAGGGTCTCACTCTTGCTCAGGCTGGTTTTGAACTCCTGACCTCGAGCAATCCGCCCACCTCGGCCTCCCAGAGTGCTAGGATTACAGGCGTGAGCCACCGCGCCCGGCCTGGTTTAGAGTTCTTCATCAACCCTGTTTCAATGTAAAAACAATGGCATTCTGACCAGATTGGACAGTAAGTCAGCCCAAAAGATTCTAATTTTTCAAGAAGACTATATATAATAGAATATAGGTTTATATCCATTATCATTAATGATAAACATCATCCTAAGTGTATATTGTATATATCTAGGGATGTTTACTAACACTAGAATTGTGAGTATATGGTGGGAAGGGTAGTTGGGTGGCTTAAAACCCGTTTCACAATATAGGTGATTGATCAAAAGAAGTTTGGAGGCCGCTATTTTGCAAGATTTAAGAGGTCCTCTAGACCCCTGGTCCCCAACCTCTAAGCTGTAGACCGGTACTGGACCGTGGCCTGTTAGGAACCAGGCCACACAGCAGGAGGTGAGCGGTGGGCTATCAAGCGAAGCTTCATCTGTATTTACAGCCGCTCCCCATCACTCGCATCACTGCATAAGCTCCACCTCCTATCAGATCAGCAGCTGCATTAGATTCTCATAGATGTGGAAACCCTACCAAAAACTGGGCTTGCAACAGATCTAGGTTGTGTGCTCCTTACAAGAATCTAATGCCTGATGATCTGAGGTGGAGCTGAGGCGGTGATCTAGTGCTGGGGAGAGGCTGTAAATATAGATTATCACTCGCAGAAAGGTTTGACTGCACAATAAATGCAATGCACTTGAACCATCCTGAAACCAGCCCCTCCACCCCTGCCTGTGGAAAAATTATCTTCCATGAAACCAGTCCCTGGTGCCAAAAAGGCTGGGGACTGTTGCTCTAGAGTATACTGCAAGGGAAGGTATGCAGGGAAGAGGGAGCTAAGCTGATGTTATCTGGGCTTCTTCCCTAAACACCCACTGCCATATAGTCATTCTGCTTTGTCTTTTTCACTTAATGAGTTTCCAGATAAACTTTTGTTTAAAGAAAGCAGTCTATGAGTTGAAAATCAGTGCTTTAAATTATTAAATTGGTAACAGTTGGCTAAAACTCAGGAAAAATAACATAGTCAATCATTGTAAAGCAAACTGTTCAACATCTACCTTCAAAAAAAACCCAGTGCTTATAAAAAGCTCACCATCAGTTCTTTCTACTGGTGAAGAGATGTTTGGATCAAAAGAGGTTGCTAGATAAAATGAATAACCAAGTGTTAAAGGAGTAACATATACTCAACACTAAAATAATAATAAGTAAAAACTAATATTTGATTAGCTCAGTATCAAGAACCTAATTAGGGTAACAATATGGTGGGGGGGACTTGCCTTTTCAGCCACTGTCTGATTTTTAGAACGGTTTTACTGGAATGCAGCCACACCCATTTGTGTATGCGTTATCTATGGTTGCTTTCATGTTGCAATGGCAGGCTTGAATCGTTGCAACAGAGATCTCAAAGCCAACAAAACCTAAAACATTTACTATCAAGCCCTTTACAGATATTTGCCAATCCCAAAACAGATGATTTCTTAAGTTCTTGACAGCTGTAAAATTCTCTGCTGCTTTGTGGTGGTCACCTGACTGGGAAAGCATGGTACCTGAGAGAGTGATGGTACAGAAGGCCAAAGTTGAGTGGCCAATTGGTAGCCATGTTAGCTGGAGGGACATCCAGGAGGGCAATCAGAAGCATGTGGCTGGCATTTGGAGGCAGGTCAAGGTTAGAAGTAGAGGTTTTGGAATCACCATACTTCACCTAGGTGAAGTCTAAACATTACCAGTTTAATAGGTGCAATGCCAAGAAATGGAAAAAGCAAGAAGGAGGATGTTCAAACCTAATGGAGAAGGGAGAGTCATCTGAAGTGACTGATTTATATGTGTAGCAACCAGAGAAGGTGGGTGGAGCTGTCCAGAATTAGGGTCTGGGAGAAGGGAGAGGCTTTGGAATACCTGTTTTTAATGTCCACTGCTGGGGAACTGGTAAGAAGTGAATTAAGAAATAACAGTCAAGTCCAAACTGAAATTGGATAGTGCAGATTTTTTCAGTGTGCTGAGTCAGTTTCTGAACTTCCTCTAATGCTCAGCCTGAATGAAGAAATGAAGAATAGCACTATAGATGAACCAAGGTGGGAGCTCATACAGAGAATGTAGCAAAGGTTACTGAATGAGAGGGTTAACATAAGTCAGAGGGAATTATCCTTCATTTTTTACAATGTCTAACCAAACTGGGTAGAAGTGAAATAATTGGGACATACAGCGTAATAGTAGGACAGGGAACCAGATCAGTGGTTATTGGAGAGTGGGATTGGTGGTAAAGAAGATATGATAGAAGAAGGTCCAAGTTCCAAGTCTCCTGCAGAGATGGAGCAAGGTTCTTGCTTACTTGGCTTGATGGGGAAGAGAGCAAGAGGGCTGGGGACTGCACACTTACTATGTGCAAACACACACTCCTACTCCCCTTGGCGTTTGCCCTTGCACCCAAGGGCTTTAAATATAAAATATTTATATCGGAGAGAGTCTGGAGACTAGGACCCTGAGACCATCAATTTTTCCTTCTAACATCCTCCTCCTTCTTCTCCTTTCCAGAAAAGTGAAGGTACAAATTTATTAGGATCCAGGATAAGAACTGAGTACTTCTTAGGAATAAGGATCTCAATAATACTATCATTTTATTTGGACTATCAAACGGAAACCAATTTTTAGGTCCCCCTAATGGGGAGATCTTATCTAGAAATGTCAGGTGAATGCCCCATCCTCTCTCAAAACTTGATTGTGTTTGTATTAGCATCCACATCTGTAAAAAATCCAAGGGTATCAAGTCACTTTTTCTCACCTTCATTTAGAAGATACAAGCTGTGATTCAATCCTGGTACTTCAGCAGCAGCAGGTGTTGTCTGGGTTTCCTGTAATATCTGAGGTTTAAAAAAGGGCAAAGGGTGATGGCAATAGCCTGAGTAGGAAAAAGAGTAACGAAAAACTGGCTTCGCTTCTTCTTTCTTCCTATTAGGAGGAAGCCAATGTTGCTGCTAGCCCTGAGGGCAGAAGCAGGCCTCTAGGGAATAGCATGATACTATGCCCCCCTCAGAGACCACAAGCACCTTCCTCTTCCATTGCTTCATGATCTCTCTGCTTCTTGTTCTTGGAGCTTTTTGCACCTGGAGTCAAGAGTTCCTTAGGGTTGAGCAGAATTCAAGGTAACAGTGGTAGGGCTGCACAGTTCCAGGTCCTTCCTATTCCTAAGGTCCCTGAAGGCAGAATGTAGGAAGCATGAGAGCAGATGTCCTGGCTGAGAGCACTGCCAAAGGGTAACGCAGCTGTTGTCTGTCTGCAGGATTTTGGAAGGGAGGAGGGAATCTAGCCTGAGAAGTCAGAGCCCCTTTCACACTCACCGGGAAGCAGACTCCAAGAGGCTGCCACACTGCTCCAGGAAGGAAAGGTGCTGGACCACATGCTGCTTCCTCTACTGCCACCGCATTGCTAGCACCCTCTATTTCTTGACAGTGTATATGCCTGGAGCTTGGAAGATTACATCTGTTGGATTTGCTTTTCTTTGCTATAAGAAAATAAGAATTTATAATTGCATACACAAATGCTCTGTTGTATAGTGCATCTATTTAATGAATATTTATTAAACACTAGGATATGACAGGCATTTTTCAACATACTGGAGACATACCAGTGAACTAGACCAACATTTTCTGCTCTCATGGAGTTTTTGTTTTAGTGGGGTTGACAGATAATAAATGAAGAAAATCAAGTAAGATAATTAGCAATGCTTACTACAAAGAAAATAAAACAGAATAAGGAGATAAGAATGATGGGAGTTGTGTGCCCTGATTTAGGTAGAGTGGTGTGGGAAGGCTTCTTTAAGATGACTTTTCAGCTTAAACGATGAAGACTATCTTAAATTATGAGATAAGAAGGAAGAATGTTCCAGATAGAGAACAAAGAGTGTGACCATGTAGCATGGGAATGAGCATAGGTGACGCACCTAAAGTGCAGGTTGGGACGGGTACATATTTATTTTACAGCACCA